TTAAAAACCCTTGACAAATTAAAATGTTATTAGCTGCCAAAACTTGTTCCCATAGCCATTAATAAGAAAGGCATTATGTAGAAAGCCAGACCATTGTAAATGAAAAGTCTAGACTAGTATATGTACTCAGGAAGTAAATAGGTCAATCAAGAAATCGAAAAATAAGGGATAAATTTAAGTTAAAATGAAGGACATAAGCAAAGGCAAATATAAGGCTCTCTCTATAAAAGCTACTTTGAGATGGATAAACTTGTCGAATATCTATATAGGTGGGTATATACAAAGAAAACGCAGAGTAATGATCGGACAAAATCATGAACCGAAGTCAGTAAAATAGCAAGAGTTATAAAAGATACTGTACAGACTAATTATGAGCTGACTAGGAATGCAAAACAGTTAGGTATTTGAAGAAATGCAAGAGATTGTACAGGAATAAGGGACAGCAAATATAGATTGAGTTATCAAGTTAAAGAAAAGGTTGAATGAAAAATTAATAAAAACGACTCTAATAATTTACCAAGATGGCTTATAATAAAAATGTAAGCAAAATACCGACAAATAAAGTTATATATGGAGAAATATCATCACAGTTTCTAAGTCGATCATAGATAAGCCTTACCTATCGAACAGCAACTCCTTTGGAACAAAGACAATTGGAGAGATGAGAACATTTGGGATCACTTTTAATGTCATTCCCAACCAAGCCGTCTGATTCTATGCTTGATTTAAATGGAGATGAGTCTTGAATACAACCAGAAATATTTTGCTGCGTTGGAAGAGCAGGTGCCGGCACCTCTGTTAGCAAGCGGTGCAACCCCGCGAGAGGCTCAAAATCCTTCTCACAAAGGATCGAAAACCTTTGAGTAAAAGAGAAGAAGTGCTTGGAGAGAGTATTCAAATGAGGAAGAAGCTCTAATTGTTCGATGTGGTGGAAGTGCGCCAAGTATAAATGAGAGATACACACAAGTAGGCTTTTACAAATCCCTGAAATGCGCAAAGGGAAATCGGGTGAAAAATCTTCACCGTACCTCACGGGAAAAATGCGGGGGGACTGCATTAGGTCATGGCAGCAAGAAAGAGCAGTATCTATCGCTTGCCGAGCAGTACATGCACTAAGCATTTGAGTACTGATACTAGAAATATTAAAAGAACCCTTCGATTTCTTGCCTTTTTCCTCTTCATAAAGAGTACTTAAACTCATATTTAATTGTGAGCACAAATTGTAGTCCGTCAACTGGGTAAAATCGAGTCCAGGAAAATAGACAGCCACATTCAAACTGGGACAGACGCATAGCTCATAGAGAGCATCAAATATAGTGCTAAGGTTTTCAAAAAGATTTATCGTATTTGTAGCGAGCCATTCATGAAGCTCAGCATGATCATATGGTTCAACAAGATCAGAGAAATCAACTGAAGTGGCAGTGAACAGAGGAAGTTGATGCCTCAGACTTGATGGGCTTATGAACAATGGATGCTTTAAGGCACTTAAAGAATCAATCAATGGCTTTGAATTCGGATCAATGGATGAGACCGATACGTTTAAAGCATTCTTTGAATTTGGCTGTACAGGTGACGAACATCGGCTAAGCGCCGAGCCACCAGTGAAAGCAAAGGGTGGAGAAAGTCGAGTTGAGGGAGACCCACTTCGCAAACCACTGCGCTCTGGGGGCTTTGGGGGGCTGTTGGCAAACTTTGTATCTGACTCAGACTTTGGAGAGATGGAGATTGCATAGGAATTTGATGAGCAAGAGGTAGGGCTGATTACTGATAACTGCTCGTTGATAGAAGAAGAGTTTGAACTCATAAGATTTCGACTAACGCCTCTAGCCTTTCCCATGAGCCATTCCATCTCGAAATAATCAGACTTAATAGGAGCCAATTAAAAGATATTGGTCTTGTTGCTAGGTTTGGGAGGAAAAGAGGTATGAGAACGGAATCATGTTCTGCGCCGAAATATTACGAGGTATACGGTGTAAAATATATTAACGCGTATACGATATGATTAAGCATTTTATTCGTTAAAAATTTTTATGAATTTTGAAAATTTGTACATGCAAAAATAGGCCTGGCACAGTGTCATATTACGCACGAATAGATTGCTTTTTCGTAGCTCAAAGTTGGCAAACATTCTACATAATTTATTATTATTATTTATCTAAGATGCATAGTTCTGCACTATTAAGGCAAAATCAAGAAGTGACAAGGTGGGAATAAATAATTGCACGAGTTTAAATTCCGATTCGTTCTAATAGTGCTAAAGTATCGAAGATTTTAAAAAAAGAGTACAACAATCAATTGTGATCATTCTCATTCAAAGTTAACATATTTTTTACTATAAATAAGTTACAAGAGACTAGCTTAAGAAGGTAGTACTAGAAGATTGGAACAAAATTTGCATAGCAAGCTTAACTTATTGATATAAATATATGTTTTTTTGATGAAATATGCAGCAAATTATGCATTTATGGCCTCAAATTTATCCCAAAATATGGATTTTTATTTAATTGACTTTGAATCCTGGAAAGCAAAAGCTAAGAATCCAAACCATATAAAGGTTTACTTATTTAATGAGCAAAATATAGATTATAATAGCGTATTAAGTGAAAAATACTAAAGAATAGACCTAAAAAATCAGTATGTACATACTTGAAGGTGTGGAAATAATAGGAAAGATAGTGAGAAGCGAAATGAGATCATGTACATTAATAAGTTTTATAAATGATAAGATGAAGAAATATAAATGACCACGATCCAAAATATACTAAATATAAATAAATTTCGCACAAAATTATTATAATAGGTTTCATCGAGCAAAACTAAGGCTAGCTAAAAAGTAACAAAACGGACATGCTTTATTGCGTCTTTTATTTGGCTTAAAATGGTGAATGGAAAAGATTATTATACTGACTAAGCTGTAAACTGAAGGGTTACTGAATTAGATTCGTGACGGTAGAATAAGTATTCGACCCACTATCTTACGACTTTCGTCTTACATGTGACCAATATCGTCAGAGCATGAAAATGTGCTTTACGAAAATTCCCTTACTAAGAGAAGTAAATAGGTCTCTTATCCTAATTTATCTACTACGACTATCGAAAACACACATTATTACAACACGTGCGTAATTATGTCATTAGACATAGCAGACTAACCTCTCGTATCGATTTAGAATAGTCACGCTGCCACAATACGATTCCGAAACACATATAATATAATCATTTATATGGGAACCACTTCTAATGGAAAGGAAACTTCTTAAAGCTATCGGGTATATATTTACGAGAACATC